GATATTAATAATTGGATTATATAACATTCGTTTTCTTATCCTTTTTAGGTTTTCTTCAGTTTCGTTTTGCTCTTATCATCAAATTTTGAGTGAATATGGAAAATCTCACCGTTGCTCAATCAGAATCTCAGATCAAAGAGGTTAGTTTTTTTCGTATTCTGAATGATAATTGAATCGATTAAATCATTGTTTTTTGGTTAATTTTGTTTATCATTGATTCAACAGTTATTTGTGACTGTAGATTAGCTCTGTTTATGATTTGGTTTTTTATTCATTATAGATCATGAATCATAGATCCGTAGTTTATTTGATTTTGGTGGTATTGAAATTTCTAGATTGGTTTTGTGTATTCATAGATTTTGTTGTTTGCTTTGATTTGTTGTTAATCTGAATCACAAATCTTATCATGTTCTTTGTTTTTATTTTACCAGGATATGTCTATGAACAATCATCCTCCAGAGAAGGAGAAGGAGAAGGATAAGGACACTAACATGGAACCACCTAGTAGTCCACGTCATCGTAAGGTAAGAACATTTGCTTAATCTCATGTTAAAACGTTTTAAAGCAACTTTAATCTGATTACTAAATGTCTTTCTGTGTATATATGTCAAGGTTCTTGCTAGATGGCTACCAGATGAAGCGCAAAGACCGGTCGTTGACGAAGCTCCTGTATTCACCCCGTCTTTAGAGGTACTAATTTGATTGATGTAATCGGAAAATTTGGGTGTATTCGATATTTTTCGTTTCTTATACGATGTTTTTTTTGGGTTATTAGGAGTTTGAAGATACACTTGCATACATAGAGAAGATACGTCCACTAGCGGAGCCGTATGGTATTTGTCGAATCATCCCACCGTCGACATGGACTCCTCCTTGTCGGCTTAAGGAGAAGAGTATATGGGAGCAGACAAAGTTTCCGACCCGGATTCAGAATGTGGACCTGCTTCAGAACCGGGAGCCCATGAAAAAGAAACCAAAGAGTAGAAAAAGGAAACGGAGAAGAAACTCGAGAATGGGTTCTTCTAAGAGACGATCTGGCTCTTCTCCCTCTGAACCTACTTCCTCTCCCGAAGCCGAGGAGAAATTCGGCTTTAATTCTGGTTCAGACTTCACTCTTGATGAGTTTGAGAAATACGCTCTGCATTTCAAAGACGCGTACTTTGAAAAGAATGACCCTAGTGGAGATGGAAAATGGACACCGTCTGTTGAGGAAATAGAAGGCGAATACTGGCGGATAGTCGAGCAACCAACAGATGAAGTTGAGGTATAGAAACAAACCATTTCACCAATACTACATAGTTTCTGGCTGGAACTTGAATAACTTAAAGCCAAATTTTCGGATTGCTTGTTGCAGGTATACTATGGAGCTGACTTGGAGAATGGTGTACTTGGAAGCGGATTTTACAAAAGAGCGGAAATGTCAACCGGTAGCGATATGGATCAGTACATTGTTTCAGGCTGGAACTTGAATAACTTACCGCGTCTCCCTGGCTCTGTACTCTCTTTTGAGGATTGTGATATCTCAGGAGTTCTAGTCCCATGGCTCTATGTAGGAATGTGCTTTTCATCATTTTGTTGGGTAGGTACACTTTCACACTTTTGATTAATTATGAACTTTTTCTCCGATGTTCAGATGGTTGATATATTTTTATTGGCTTGAACAGCATGTCGAGGACCATCATTTATATTCGCTGAATTATCATCACTTTGGTGAGCCAAAAGTATGGTATGGTAGTCCAGGAAGCAATGCAACCGCTCTCGAGAAGGTGATGAGAAAATATCTGCCTGATTTGTTTGAAGAACAGCCTGATCTACTTCATGGCCTGGTTAGTAAGAAAACATCAACTTTTTGTTAGTCTCCACCGTCTTTAGAGGCTAACTCGTATTTTTTGTATTGGATTCAGGTTACTCAGTTTTCTCCATCAATTCTAAAAGAGGAGGGAGTCCAGGTTTACCGGGTGGTTCAGAATGCAGGGGAGTATGTATTGACTTTCCCGAGGGCGTATCATGCTGGATTCAACTGCGGTTTCAACTGCGCAGAAGCGGTTAATGTGGCTCCGGTTGATTGGTTGGCTCATGGACAGAATGCTGTGGAACTATACAGTAAAGAGACAAGGAAGACTTCTCTGTCTCATGACAAACTTCTCCTCGGTGCAGCTTATGAAGCTGTTAAGGCACTTTGGGAACTCTCAGATTCTGCGGGAAAGGAAAGTATAGAAAATTTAAGGTGGAAGAGTTTCTGTGGGAAGGACGGAACACTTACCAACGCCATCCAGGTAATGAAAAACGCTAATCATTTGAGATGATAATACGGAATATGGTTTCTACTTTCTAATGCTTAACTGGTTCTTCTTTTGTTAATGTTGATAGGCTCGGTTACGGATGGAAGAGGAAAGAATTGCAGCTCTTGGAAGCGATTCGTCGAGTTTAGTAAAGATGGAGAAGGACTTTGATTCAAACTGTGAAAGGGAATGCTTCTCGTGTTTCTATGATTTGCATCTTTCGGCTTCTGGCTGCAAATGCTCTCCTGAAGAATATGCGTGCCTTAAACACTCATACGATCTCTGTTCATGCGAAGAGAAAGATCGATTCATCCTTCTCCGTTACACAATGGACGAGTTAAGCTCGTTGGTCAGAGCATTGGAAGGGGAATCAGGTGATCTAAAGCTATGGGCTTCCAAGGTCTTGGGCATTGAAGACAGTGATGAAGATAAGAAAAAGGCTATTTCAGTTATCAGCGAGGAGAAGAAGCTAAAGGAAGGTTCGTTTGATCTGAACATGGACTTGGAGATGGATTATCACGAAGACCCTAAAGAAGAAGTCAGCACCAGTGGCGAGTTAACCGCTTCAGAGAACTTTAATGCATCGGTCAAGCCTATAAACCTCGGGTTCTTGATTTTTGGAAAACTTTGGTGCAATAAGCATGCTATATTCCCAAAAGGTACAATCTCTTAAAAACCTTTCGTTGATCGACTTAATTAGAAATTTGCTCAAAACATTGTTGAGGTTTTTTTTTGCTTTTACAACTTTTATAGGATTCAAGAGTCGTGTAAAGTTCTACAACGTGCTTGATCCAACAAGAATGAGCGATTACATCTCCGAGGTTTTGGATGCAGGACTCATGGGACCATTGTTCAGGGTATAAAGCCTTTTTCCCCATAACATTTTATTCGATAAAACTGAATCTTGAAAAGCAAAAGATTGAAATCTTCTCTGTTTATCAGGTTACTCTGGAAGAATCACCAGACGAGAGTTTCTTCAATGTCTCGGCCCAACAATGCTGGGAAATGGTGCTGCAGAGAGTGAAAGATAGGTCGACAAGTCTTGGTCTTCCTAGTTTATCGCGGTTTGAGGGTATTAACGGGCTTCAAATGTTTGGTTTCCTCTCGCAATCTATAGTTCAGGTAAAAATTTAATCCAAGCGCCTTCTCGTCTTCAAAACATTTTCATGATCTTTATTAGTCTTTTTTACACAACTTCATCAACTCTCTACAGGCCATTGAAGCTCTTGACCCGAACCATCGACTCATTGAGTATTGGAACCATAAGAACAATGCGTCATGCGAATCGAAAGATCACTTCATATCATCAAGCTGTTCAGTGAGTTTATCGAAAGGAAAACTTTTCGGAGTAGATTTGATGTAAAAAGCAACAAAGACTTGCCCAGCTCCAAGAGACAGCGACAACAATGACTGT